AAATTGCATATTCATCATTTTGTAATATATTTGCAAAAATAGGTGTTGCGCATTAAAATATCCAATCAAATTTTTACTAACGATGAATGCGCAAATTTTGTTTAGTCTAAAAGTCAAAAAAAATGTTGAAATCAGAAATCAGTAATCGTAAATTAGTGATTACTTTTTCACATAATTTTGCAAATCGCAATAAAATCGTGAACCTACTCAACGTTGAAATCACTGTTAAATCGTGAACCTACTCAGCGTTAAAATCACTGTTAAAATCGTGAATCTACTCAACGTTGAAATCATTAGCTTCTGCTATAAATTCACTAACCCACTTACCGTTGTAATCACTGTTGCAATTATTAAAAGTCTACCCACTAATGAAGTCATGGATCTATCTACAGTGAAACCTCCCTACAGTCACGCCCTCGGTTCCAAGAAATCCTGTGCTTATAAGAAATTGTGCTTGTATAGAGGTTAAATCTCTTATGTTTTATATACTTTTGTTCTAAACGTTAGTGTGCTTATAAAGAGGGTGTGATTATATGGAGAGTGACTGTATGGAGGGCAGACTGTATTTTCTAGACTTGACACCCTCAATCCTGTTTCAATAAGACTTGATTTTCAGTAGGACTTTTGATAAGACTTTCGTTTTTCAGTAAGACTTTCGGCCTTCGTAAGACTTTCGACTTTTAGTTTTGTGCAATAAATTACCAGTATACCAAAAATACTTTTGGAGCCATCTTTAATCTCAATAAAGCTAACATGGTTTAATCTACGAAAGAAAAGTAGTAAAAGTTTAATTATCTGGATATTTTAAATACGATCTTTATATCAGTGCATAGTTAATATTTGGAAGCACGCTTCGCAACAACGCAATCGAATATGATGCTACAATTTGTAAAATTTGATCAGAGATACAGTGCAAATAGCAAAAAAATTCGCACAGCTATAATTTGGTAATACTTATACGGATTCGATAAAGGGTACATTTGAACAGGGACGATGATTTTCTGTTTTGGTTAAGACCAAATTCTGTTTTCGGTTAAGAAAAATTCTGTGATGTCATGTGCT